CCTGGAAACATCTGAAACCTACACTATAAGTTGTGTCATGTTTTTACCTACCCTGAGAATATTAAAGTTTGGGCCAAATGAGATAGCGTAATGGTAAGATTGATATTAGTGCGCATGTGCATTTCCATAGTTACTTCAGAGGTAGTAAAAAGATAAAAAGAGTAAGGTCAATACCCATTCTGTGAATGGGGAAAAGAAGTTTGGCAAACTGGGACTTACTAAATAAAAAGGATGGGGGGGGCGGGGAAAGAATGGATTGGGACATAATATAGGAGAATTATTATGCCTATAGTGCAAAAATGTGGAAGTGAAATTAATTTATGCAAACCATCAGAAGATAAAATACATGAAATAATAGAATACAAACTGGCTGGAGAAAATAAAGGACTGGGAAAATAATTATTAGAACAAATATAACTTGATGCAACAGCAAGTGATTATGGTGTCATTAGTGCTCACACTCATGTTTGCAGTGCAGTGTGTTAGCGAAATACTAATAAAATACAGTTTTCACTGCATTAGTTTCGTGAATTGAATCAGCAACTCGACTGTATGTCCAGAATTCCGACACAGTACACATGAAACAATATTTGGTCTTGGATAGTAAAATAAAATTTAAAAAAATGTCAAAAACAAGGAAGGAAAGGAGCTTGGTGAGCATTTCGATATGTAACTTATAATTAGGATTTCAATTTGTATATATATTTAGCTTGTTTAATGACTGCTATAGAAAATAACTATAATACATTTTTAGTTTCCTCTCCTGTATGTTTTTATCTATCAATCTGCATATTTTCAAGAACTAAACAAAGAGGAGGAATAGAAATACTGAATATAAAAAGAAATTCCAGAACAGTGAAAGCCAAGGAAATACTGTGAAAGAAAAATGCTGCAGTCTGTCATCTGGCAGGTAACCTTGAAATGTCTGAACTGCTCATTTTTCAACGTGCCAGTCAAACACAAAAGTTTGAGATAATAGCGATCATAGCTTGTATAATGTCTGTCATTTATCACAAAGCCATGGATACTGTGTTTCTTGTGCTTTTAAATGAGCTGTCTTAATATCAGAAAAACGTCTCTTAGTGAGTTGTTACTCATAGTTTTTGTACTGCAGGATGCATTGTCAATACAGGTATCTACAGCAAGTTACAGGCATATGGAAAGACTGAACCAGATGAGCCATTAAATAAAATACATGTGATAGCTTTTTTGTTTTGTTTTTTTTTTTAATTTTAACATCTTATTTGTGTATCTTGAGTTTCGCAATGTGGCTGAAAACCTGTCATCCTGGGTGCAGTTGCTGCTGTGGAATATATCGGTTTCATAGGAGTGCACATACTGGACTATGTCGGCTAAGTCATCGGTAATGGATGATTAAGGAAAGAATATCAAAACCAGGGTAAATGCAGACTGTTTTTGTTTTCCTTCTGGTAACTTCTTTGCTGCTGGTAGAACATTGTTTAGGTTTTCCTTAGAGCAGTGTTATTAGAAATAGGTCGTTAGGCCTACCAGACTTTTATTTAATCTTTTGAGTCCTTTTATGCTTTCAACATCCACAATATCCACTATCAATGCATTTCACAACTTCATTACAACAGGATTTATACTTTATTTTATTCTAAAATTAAATTTTCAGGTATTAGCTATATTTCCTTTTTTCAGTGTTTGTTAGAGAGAATAACTACCTCCAGTTCACATCTGGCATATCTTTTATTAGTCTTTTAGGTCTTTGCATCTGTTTGTTGCTTCTCTTGTGCTCCCACTCTTACTAAAGGGTGGAAAGTTCTCGTCAATTGCATATGAAAACTATTGATCATCTGTATCCTCTTTTGTGGTGAAAGGTACCACTCTGAGATAAATTTTTTCCTACTATGTTTTTAGTGAACTTCAGACAGATTTCAGAGTTGTGTGTGTGTGTCAGAATAATGCTGTGTCATGCTAATGTTTGTATTTCCTATTCCATTCTTGAATCATTCTTGAATTCTAATTTCTTTGACTATTGCTGTTGAGCTAGGGAGATTTTTTTACTGGATGTGTAAGAATGCAATGTCAATCAGCCTTATTCATGTACATATTGGTCACTTAATTAAATAATCTGATTTACAGCATTCTTATACAAGTCACATTCATTTTTCCTAAAATACGGTTATCCCTGTGAAAGTGTCTACTAATCTAAGTGGTTTGTAGGTCATGTCTTATTAGAGTTCTTAGTTCTGTAGAACATTTATGGGATCTTAGAAATGCTTTTGAAGTGGTACAAGAAAGTGCTGTTCATTGACATCAAGGCTAAGGTATATAGCCATCAGTCATCCCTCAAGATGACGTTATTGAGGAAAAAGTAGCTGAATTTAATTTGGAGACAGTACAAAACTGGACCTTAAGTAAATACGAGTATGTAGTTTCTTCCTGTTCTACATTTTCCTCTCATGTATATTGAAAGAATAATGAAAGATCTACCAAGTTTAGTGTCCGTCATCTCTTTGGAACGTTCCTGTTGCTAAGGGTAGAATTTCCAGGTGTTCACAGGTTGATTCCTGTGATATCATTAACTTTATTTTGGATGGAGGAGGCAAGGGAAAGCTAGTGTGTGATTTGTAAAGGTACAACATGGAGCAGAGGATGACCAGAGTTTACCCTGTGCATCTCCAGAATGACTCGGTGCTTTAGCTCTGCCTCTAAAGAATGGGGATTTCTGGTACTTCTTCCTATTCTGTCTATTCAGGATTTGGCTAAAGAAAAAGATGGAGCTTAATTATTTAAATAATCGCAACTGTTTCCTGTAGATGCTTTGTCAATAAAGCTCTTCTTAGGCAGCAATAAGTGTATGTGCAAGGGGAATATATCTCCTGTGCTCAAGAGTTCTGCCACGCATAGATGTTGCCTTAGGGCAGCGTAAGATTTTACCTGAGATTTTTTGTGTTAATGCAATTTCTGGTGTACTGGTGTCCTCATCTTGGATTGCATCTGTTTGCCGCAGCGCAAACAAGCGTGATGTGCGTGCCTCTTTTGCTCCAAATTAGGCACCTAAATTTTTTTTTCCTGGTGATGCAGAGGGATTTAAACAAAGACTGTAATTCTACTCAAAATCGGGCAGCTAATCTATGGGGATGTTGTCTGTCTGTCGAGTACTGCTTCAAGGTAATCTGTTGTCTAGTCAGTGAGTCACAGACAGGTGAATCCTCTGCCAGATATAATGATCCTGGGTCTTCAGGGAAGAGCAGTAACTGCACAGACAGCACAGGGCAGGTGGGATACGCACTCCTACTCACACTGTTATCCAGGGAAAATCAGAGGCACGAGGCATGCTCCAGAGACGAAGCTAGGCAGATTGCGCAAAGATAAGCGGTAGAAGCAGAAAGGCTTTGGGATATGTTTCCTGCTGCCAGAGTGCAGAGCTGTTTGGGTTTTCTAGTTACTGCTCAGCATTAGAAATACGATGATGCAGTTAAATTAAGTACATGTGCAACAGACCTTGAAATTTAAAATCTACTAAACCAAACCTTGCAGCATGAATTTTAGGTTCATTGTTTCACTTCAAGTTAAAATAAAGCTGAACAATTGAAAGATATACTGACAACAACAAAGTAATATGTGAAAGGAAATTCTATCTGGCTGGAAAAAAATTTAATTTCATTGTTTATACTGCAAAAAATCATTTGGCTTCATGATGCTTATTCAGTTCCTCTTTGTAGAGTAGACTACTAGTACTTTAGAAGACTAGTTTCTCAAGCCTTGAAAAATAACTTCGAAATTTGCTGGATGTTCTTGTTACTGTCTTTTCAGAAGAGTGCTGTTCTGCCCAACTGTATAAATGATGATAGCTATGTATTTTTTCTTTGTATATTTCTAGAACTTCTCAAATGAAATTGGAATGTATAAAATTATTCCACCACCAGTGACTGTAGAGTTTGAGACAGATCCACTGTGAGGGAAAAAGGGAATTTCTTGTCATGTCATGTAATGGTCAAGTTCTGGTGTCTTGGGGAGCCAACACTGTAGGGCAATACTAGGAGAGGGGTTTTTTTGCTATCCAGGAAGCGAAAAGGGAAAGATACGCCTGCTTATCAAAGAGTTTGGTAAGTCGAGATATTTACGCACACTGGCAACAGAAGCACAATCTCTTATGCCTCAGTTTATTTTTAGGTAGAAAGGTGATAAACTAAGTGTGCTTTTTTCTTTTTCCTCTTTCTTGCCTCTTTGTCCTCACTTTAGCTTGTGGTTATACTTCCTTACCAGATGTGCATTGCTGGGTACAGTCTTCCGTTTTTCAAGTCTTCTACCTGACCATTTTGGTTTAATCTGATGACTTTTAATAATCAAAATGTTTCTGTCCTGTGTAAATTCAGTGACTTATGTAAAGAAAGACTTAACCTAGTGTAAAGAGAGTACACTCTCTATCAAGAACGGTGTTAAAACATGGAAAGAAATACAGCTCTCTCAAAACACTTTGTCACAAAAAGCATTCACAGGCTATTTCTGGATCATGCTCGGCTACATTCCAAGAGAGGGATTTTTCCAATAATTCTGTACCACCACGTATGAAATACGTTGACATCTTATTTGTAAGAAGTCATTAAGGAAAAGCAGATTTCTGAGAAATTGTCCTGATGGGAAGCATTCACTGTGATTTGTCAAATCAGAGATAAGTCTGTTAATTTCTGACTGTTGATAATAACTGCTTTTGTTGGCACTTCTGGTCAATGCTACGGCAAAGATCTCCTTGTTATTTACATACTTGTGGTATCTGAACTTTTCCAAAGTGATTCATAGGGAAAGTAAATGTGACTTTAGCAAAGAAAGTTATCTAGCGTTCCAAACAAAAAAAAAGCCTCCGATGTTGGAAAGGCTGTTACAAGAAGGTGGTTGATATTTTAATAGTAATCTAGGCAATTACAAGGAACAGATACCAAATTCCAATATTTTTTCAAAAACTGTGAAATTGGGATAGTATTTCACTGTAATTATTTCTAAACACTTTTGTTTTAAATTAGCAACTTCTTTTTTTCAGGAAATTTGGAGAGCGACCTCAACCGAAACGACTCACCAGGTAAGCATTAAAGAAATTCCGTTTTTAACAATTTTCTAAAGTTACCCTCTTCATTTTCAGAAGGATGTTGTAAGTTAAAGAATGGTGGCTTGATAATCCTAGAATTTTAATTATCAAAACTTTTCAATTATTATATGCAGTCGGCAGCCAGAAGTAAAATGACTAAGAGTGACTGACTTGTTTTTAGTGTCATGCTCAAAATGCCTTTTTAAAAATGGTACTGACTTCATATATCAGTTGTTTTAGATTATTCCGCAGGATGCAAATCTGCGTAGTTTTAAATTGCCAGGAATGAGACAGATTTCTGTTCTTGGGTAAAAGTCTCTTATGAGGTCGTCTCAGATAACGCTTTTTACTGCCAAAACACAACTGTTGTGTTACTGCTGGTATGCAGCAGGTAAAGGCAAAATGAACACAGTGCTGTTAGAGAGTGATCTTAACCATATTTTCTTCAAACCTAAACAGTCAGTGATAACCTCAAATATTACCAATCAAGTCAATCTGTTTTGAAAAGTATACAGGGTGACTGGAGTACCATGCCCGATCAGCTCCCAATCTGCCTCAGAAGTAGTTACACTGGAAGTTGTTAAGTAGTCACCATACTTTTTAAAATGTTTTAACACAGTCTGTGCAAATATTTATTATTCTTTACTGCAAACTGTACTGGTTGTGAGTAGCTACCAAGTTTAAAATCCACTCTTTGCTCGAAGAACAAAAGATGTGCAAATTTTTTTAGAGTTTTGTCTAGTAAGAGCGGTGTATAAAGACGTGGAAACCCATTGTCACTGTGGCCTACTTCTGTTTTGAATGAAATTATGATGCCTCATGTAAAGCATGGGATGGAGGCAAACATTTACATTTTGTGTTGGGGATATCTGTCTCCTCACATTTCTGGATAAGCTTTGGATTAGTTTGTGTTATTGCTAAACTGCATTTCAATGCAGAATTGATCTATACTGACTTACAAGTAGTTGGACAAACATTTCTGTTTCCTTCTGGCCTACCTATTTTATATTTATTTAAATATATTTAAAGATACGACCTTGAAGTAATGACCTGTTTTCCATCTTCTCTAGTAACATATGTTAGTATCTCCCTGAAGTTACTAGTAGTATTTATCTTCTATGATTTAAGAAGTACAACAAAAATAGGGACTATTCAGTGTAAAGTCTTCTAAATTTTTCATTACCTATAGCGACTCTAAATTTCATCTGCAGGATTTTACCTACTAGATGTGACAGGTACCGTTTCCTGTGAGCGTAGGGCAGTCATCTGGGGACTGATGGCCATCCTTCAGAACAGTGGCTTGTAAACCTTTATTTATACTGATAGAGGGTGGAAACAAGTAATCTAACTTTTCCTCTGAAGACAAAAATGCTGAAACAGGAAAACATCACACACATTTTTAAGAGTATGATTTGTTTATGTAATGAGTAAAAAAGTATCTGTAAACCTTGAAGGCCTTTAGTTCCATTATTGGAAAATAATTCCATTTTTTTTGTGCAAAGTCAGTTTTATTTGTCTAATAATCTAATAATTCATTGTCATGCGAGCTCCGGAAGAGCAACACTACTTGGTTCATACTGTGCTAGCTGATTTTAGATGTAAGCTGTAATACTACTACCTTTGTGGAGAGTTTTAAGATTTAAAATGAAAAGTGTCATGTAAGAATTGCAATGGTTATGGGTTTTATCAGTGGGAGGGGCTGGAGGGGAACATTCCTGTTGCTCCTAGGAGCTTGGATTGTACAAGTCCGCTGTAACAAAAGACGAGTAGAAAAGGCAGAATTTCTTCCTCATACAATGCTAAATAAACATTAGGTAGCGCTTAGCATTTTGTACATGGGTTGCTAATTTTGAGTGGATTTTTTAATGGTAGGACAAAAGTTTTTAGTATGACAGATGTTCTTAATTTAGTGTGACAGTACTCTTAATAGAGTATTTCAAATTGTCAGATGAAGAGTTTTTAAACCACTTAAGTGCAGCTAGTATATATCATAATGAAATGTATAATAATAATTTCACAGTGAATTACGTTTTGTGGTTTAAAATATATTCTTAAACAGTGTTTGTAAAATAAATGTCTGTGCACTTTGAGGCAGTTCTTCCATCTGTGCTTTCATTGATAAACATCAGTTTTACCGGTGTCGAATGTAGGTAGATCAAGTTGGTATGAATTTAAAACAGTAACTCAAGTCTTTGCTTTTATATCCTGCTTATTTACACAAAAAATCTAGCACACTCATTCTGTCTTATGCAGGTGTGACAAATGTAAGAATTTAAAGATTATTAGTAAAGCTGGATTGTTGTTGCCCAATTTGCCTGTGTGTGTGTCCTGCAGTGTGGAATCATAGAGTCATAGAATTGTCAGGGTTAAAGGGACCTTAAAGATCATCTAGATCCAACCCCCCCACCCTGGGCACAGACATCCCCCACTAGATTGGGCTGCTCAGAGCCCCATCCAGCCTGATCTTCAAACCTTTCCTCTTTGGAGCTGTATATGGGGATTTCTTTTGGAAGAGAACTCATCAAAAACATACTACTTTTTATTTTCTGTCTTTTTTTTCCCTGTAAATGTTTATGTTCTAGATCTGTGCAAAGAGAATTTAACAGTTGGGTGCAGTTCACAAAAAAAAAAAAAAAAAGCCCAACGCAAATCTCTCTTCTGTATGGTTTCATCTCTTCATATAACTTCTGTTAAATTCATAATTTGTTTCTCTGGTTGCTGACTTTGAAGATGTGGTGGGCATTCAACCTGTCTCCTCCAGGGACTTAAAAGTGTTGCTGTCAGCATTCTGACACAGCTAAACCCTAGGGTGTTGAATTTGGCATGCTGCTTAATGAACAGTTAGATTATTATACAGAAGAATGATAGGGTGTATTGTTCTCCTGCTCCTCTCAAGGAATTGCTGTTGGTGTGTTTGAGGTAATTATAGCTTTTATACGATGTCTGTCATTACAGTAATGATGAATGATAGAAAAATCTAATTTATAATTTTTTACCTGATTGTATGCAGGAAGTAGAGGCTTCCTCTAGAAAACTACATGAAATGATAAGCTGAAGAATTTAACTTTTTCTTAGTATCTTCACAAGTAAAGGAAAACTTTTATATAAACATCACATTGATTTAGTTAATAGCGTAAAGAAAATATAAGAACAACTTGTCAATATTGTGAGAGACCAAATGGGTTAAAAAGACAATATTGAATTAATAAAGTGTGTTCTAATCAAATATTTATGGCATGGTACTTTATAAAAACGAGCTTTGGACGTGATGTAGTGATTTACATTGATAGGATTTTACATTACAAGCATCTTTTTTCTTGGAAAATATAGTAATTGTAAATGGCCATGGAACTCTGCTGTCAGTTTCATGAAAAGTAGTTGCTTCTTTTTGCTGTGTAATTGTCTTAAAAAACAAAACAAACTAATCTTGACATTATTAATAGTTGCCTTTTTAAATTTCAGGTGTTAGGGTTTTTTTGTCCTAAACCTGCCTAACCTATAATGATTGTTATAAACAAACCCAAAAGAACTTCTAAAGCTTATTTTGTCCTTTAATTTTTTAGGGAAGCAATGCGAAATTACCTAAAGGAGCGAGGTGATCAAACAGTGCTAATACTCCATGCAAAAGTTGCGCAGAAATCGTATGGAAATGAAAAAAGGTAACACTGTTTTCTTTCCTGGCTTCCCTTGAGAGCTCCCAGTGGGGAAACTATGGTTGTGTAGACTGGTGCGTAGTCTGTTGCAGAATTCGTCAGATGGTGCTATAGTCTGAAGAAACATAAACCAAAGTGTGTTCTTGTAAATCGTTTTACTATGTAACAAATTCTGCAAACTCGTGGCATTCAATGTAGGGATGCCTGGTTTTGCCAACAACCTGTGGGTGAAGTTTTTCATCCATTGGACTAAAATGACTCTAAATTTAAACCTTTCATTTTCAAGTCTGGAGTAAATAACATGATGGATGTGACTATTTGTAGAGGAATTTTTTCACTGAGTAATTTCAAATTAATATGCAAGGGAAATTGCTAGCTTCAGTAGGGTACTTTTCTGAATCAGATCTGTAACAGCTTTAAAAAAAGTGACAGAGCAGTCATAACTGTATTAATATATAAACATTTGTAAGAGGCAGTACAGTAAAAGTTACAGTAATAAGTAGTTTTCTAAGGGACAGAATCTACAGAAATGATTTTTTAGGCAAAGGTGAGTTTACTGCAGTCTTCTCCGTGATATTTTTAATGCACGACTAGTAGAAGCAGATAGGGTGGTCTTTCATTTGCAGATTTATAGTCCTCTCATGACGAAATAGAATTTTCTTTAAGTACGATTGACACTTTTCTACCTTAACTTTCACTTAAATAAATAATGCAATGTTTGATTATTTTTCAGATATTTTGTTAATATTTGCACCACAAAAGACCACATATTCAGCACATTAATCAAGTTTTAGCCTTTCTTTGACCACTGTTGTATAAGTCGTATTACATCGTTGATTTTCTTTTTACAGTGTTCTAAGAAGTGAGTTTCTAACATTTCTGTAGGAAAGTGTCAAAAACCAGGAATGTTAGAATTAAGCCTGCAGAGGTTTGTTGCTACCAACCTAAAGCACACTTCTGCTGTCTGTGAATCACAGAGGTAGACACTGTATTTTCAGTTGTTCTTCAGTATTCTGTGCCCAAGTACTTGTCTTTCAGTATACGTGGCATCTTTTCTGTTAGCCAGTGTCCAGGTTCTGCAGATATGTGGAATTGTTTACTCAAAGTGCTTTACTTAGGTACTTTCTGAAATTCTTGACGAGAATCATATGGGAAGGCAATGAAAGAGGAAGGAGGAAGGGCACGAAAGCAGACAAGTTGTTCTGTATCTGCTATGTAACTATACAGCACTTCCTCACTGCCAGGCTTAAATGCAAAAGGGTTGCAGTGCAAGTGCTTACTAGAAGTAAATGATGACTTTAACCCTTTGTAGCAAGCTCAACAGCCGAAAGGATTTTTCCTGACAATGTCTAGGGACCTCTGATTATTATCTTGTCAGCTTGTATTGTCATTCAAGAGTTTGATAGTTAATTCATGACTGCAGATGTGCTAAGCGTATTACTTAAAAAAAAAAAAAAAAGAGATGTGCCTGAAGATAGGAAAGTGACTTTCTAAACAGCTTATCTGTAACTTCAGTCAGTTTGTTCTGCTGAGGCTGGAGCACTTCATGAGGGTGGGAACATTTGGCAAAGCTGTCTTGGATATCATTATTTTGGAGAGCAAATTGCTTCAGAAGAAGGGAGAAAATAAAAAGATAAATTATGTAATTTTCATTATTAAAAGTTGCTTCAGCATTTGGAAAACTTACACGAGTGTTCTGCAGAATACAGGGCAAAGCTTCAAATGGTTATTTGCTAGCAGTTTCTGAAAGCTGCTATGTGCATTTCGTAGCATTGCCATAAATTCGTGTTATCTTGCTTGTACATCTGCATTTCACCTGGTGATGTTTAAGTCCCTGTGACACATACATTTCCTAAGTACTGGTAATGTTCAGTAAAGTAGTCATTGGTTTCTCACTGCTCGAAATGACTGGTAACTGGAATTAGACATTCTTTCACCACTTTAGATTTTGTCAGGTGCAGTTCAGTTGTCTGTCTCGGTGCAACTGAATATATTCATGAAAGGTATCTCAGATTATTCTGAAAAATGGAAGCATGTCAAACGAGCGTAGAATTTCAGAGCTTTGCAAAAGATGACTAGGAGTGGAAATGGTGTTATAAAATGATATGATGGTAAAATGGTTACTCTTCTAGTATAGGTATGAAATAAAAGTTTGGAATACGTACTGAGGTTTCATTTTTTTAGTTTAAATATTTTAATTTTTCTTATGTTTTAATACACCATTTAGACTGTCTCTGGTACTGTTCCCAGACTGTTATCATCAGTAATGATGTCCTGTTGGAATAAGCATAACAAAAAATGCCAGTTATTAAATCCTTGAACCCATGTGTGCCCTAAGGTACTTGGTGAAACTGAATGATGAATTAGCTTCTTTTTGCTATTTTTTTTAATTTCTACTGTTTTATTCACAGCAGAATGGGCCTTTGGTGCTTCATATTGCTGAGATGAGCAAAATTAGTAAACGTTTAAGGCTACTTTACACAACTGTTCAATCAAGTTTTCACCATTTTTACATTAAATACCATTTCCGAAGTGAGTTGTTTCGCATACATCTCCTTTATAGACAGAAACCTAGTTTATACCTGTTTTTACGGAGAAATTTAGTGTTTTCCACAAGACTTCATTACATTATGGATGTAATCTGGTTAATTTTTGATCCATAAAGAGTAAGTTAAATCTTTGTAACTAAGAATTGAAGTTAAAAAGGAATTACTTCTTAAATTTGACGTGTCTTTCAAGTAAACATAAAACCTAAAAAAATCCTTAACAGACTTGTACCTTTTGTTCCTGTCTTTAAAGCTTGTTTGTTGTGAACTCATGGTAAATATTTATCATTAGTAAACCTCGCATGGCATAATTAGAAGCTTAGCACAACAACTACCTTCCCGTGTTTTAATGAGGCTTAGTAGATGGTGAAATACCCTGTTGAAAACTCAGTGTAGACGGTACAGCTCTCACGTAGCCTGGTCTGGTTTAAAGAAGCCTCACAGAAATACAATCCCAGGTTGTTGTGAAGTGGATGGAGACTTTTGGGTCCCTAAACATTGTTTTAATTCTAAAACAATTACAGGAGGCTTCCTTCTTTTTTCGGTGGACTCTTCTTACTAGCCTTGCTTTTTCCAAGGTTAGTGTTGTTTGCTTTAACAAAGAAGCTAGGAGGTAAGAAGCTCAGGGACAGATTTGAGTTGAATTTAAGACTTTTTTGCCTAATGTTCCCTGTTGGATGGCTGTCGTCCTTCAGAAGTGTTGCGCTGTTTGAGACTCGGGTGGTGTTTAGTCCGTGATGAGTGTGGGTGTTTGGCTTGTGCTTCTTATATTTTTTCCATATTTGCCATTCACCGAGACTTCTCTCTTCAGAGTCTGAACATTGCGAACATTCAACAGTTTAAAGGACTGAAGTGTTTTGGATTCCGAGACATAGTTCTTCAAAGACTATGAGCCAGATTAGTATTTGTGGATTACATGCTGTTCTGTGTTGAAATGTTATCACTACTGATTAGCCTGAGAGTGGTCTAGCTGTGTGCTGTTTTACAGCTGTTAGTAAAGGAGTTCCTGTAATTTCTGCTCAAATATTTCCTTCCCCTGCCCGAGTGTGCCTACCCTCTGGTTAATGCTCTTGTTACTGAGAGCATAGCCTGTTCTAGGACTTAACCCATGGCTCCCACTACTTCGTCTTTAGCACTCTAGCACCTAATGATTTTTCATTTGTTTGTTATTGTATTGAATTCTTTAGTGGATGTTGTGAAGTGCTTTCTTTTTCTTCTAAGAAGGAAGGAAGACTGCTGAGCAGTTTTATGCTCAGAGCAATGCAAGTAACTGGCAAATACACCTCCTGCCTTGACTGAGTGGGAATTGACAGAGGTACAAAGGAAAAACTTCCTTGCTAATGTCACTCTAAACATAAAGCAAACTAGCTGGTAGACACCTCTAAATCCTCCTGAAGGCAAAGACTTCTGTAAAATGAACACAGGGATGACTCAAATTATTTGAAAAAGTAAACCTTTGTGCACAGAAGCCTGTGGTTTGAAGAGAGCGTTGAGTGCATCAGAACTAGGTAGCAGTAGCATGAGCTGATTTTATTTTACTTTCTACCCCTTGCATCCTCCTGGCAAGTTCCATTAGGGTAGCTTCTCTGCTTGAAGTACCCTATTTTCTCTGTATTGATTGGCCTGGATTGACTGAGGGAATATTGTTCTCTCCTTTGGTGATTGTCTGGTTTAAAACAACATTCCGGTTCTATTTTCTACTGTTGCAGTCAAAAGTCAGAAACCACTAGAAGTTATCTTGTTCTTGTCTTCCAGTCATTTGGAATAAAGGGGAGCATCCTTAGAAAAATCTCAGCTTGGTTTTCTTGCCATGGAAAAATGTTCAGTTTCCAGTTGGTCTGATGGAACAGATCTGTCAGAACAGATGAGTAACAGGTTGCTTCTGCTCGCTCTACGGAGTTACTGAGCCTGGAGTCCAATGAGAAGTAGGTAGTACTATTGGCTTTCCTCACTTGAGCAGCTTACGGAATTGTAGTTTAAGAAGGCACTGTGGGGATATGCTTTACTCTTTGTAGATTGGTCTTCTGAACTTTCCTGGCTAGTATCAGTCCCAGTGTAACATATATGGTCCCAGATATAACATAAACAACTGTTCATTGTTCCAATTACACTGATCACAAATTGTTGCAAAATGCACAGGAGGAGTATCACAGTGAGCCTCTTCTGAGAAACTCAGAGTCCACAACAAAATGTGATAGAGATGTTAAAGACATGGGGGCATTTGCAGAGACCCGGCATCCCAAAATGTTGCCCTAATTCAGTCTCTGTGTTTTGTATCAGCAAGTAGGAAGCACTGCATCTTGTTATGCAGCTCTAACAAACGTGGAATAGGTTTCATCCAGGAAACATATTGCTGGTTTTTATCCTTCCAGTAACGAAAGAGCTCACAGAGTTGGATCCCTAACAGACCTCAGGTGGTTTTTTAGATCAGGGTTTTTAGGTGTTTACCTTACAGAAGAACATCCTATTTTGTTTTACTGCTCATTCTGCAGGGTATTACCAGTCTGCTCATAGCATAGAGAAGAGGTATTAAGATAATATATTATAAATTCAGTGAGAAAATTACATCCCACATGATTTTCCACCATTACTTCTTGTACTGAAAATTCTGAACAAGCTCAGAATATCCAGACACAGCTGCCTTTCCCCTCCAACATCATGTTCTTTTTACTATAGGCCAGGTTAATACTTCAGAAGAATTTTTACCTCCTACTCAGTCTTAGTTTAGTTTTGTGGTTAAAAAAAAGAGAGAGGTAGGCCCTGTAAATCAAAGGTCGAAGGAACAATATTTTCATTTGTTCCACCAAACATTGCCCTACTTGATTTCCCATCAGTAATACTGGAAATTATTTTACCTAAATCACTTTACTTATTTTAGAGAGGTGATTTTCTTTCTCTTTTCCTCTTTATAATTATCTGAAAGCTTCTCACACAAACATTTGCACTCCTATTTACATGCGAAATGTTTTATTTATGAGAGAACCTGTTTCCAGCAGTTTTTTTATACATATCAAAGACACTTTCTTTAATCCTTTGTGCAAATTAGAAATATGAGAATACTTATGGTTTATTCACACTATATTGGATAGAAAATTTATAGTTAATCTCTTCTATACATGAGGTCCTGGGATTGTAAATATGAAGTAAAAAAGCCCCGAGGCTGTACTTGGCTTTACCTGAAGGCTGAGTAAGAGTCTGACCCATTGACATTGTACGTGTTCAGGTGCTTTGTTCTTGTTTGGTACTTTTAACCAAACTTAAAATTGTCTCAGCTTCAGAAATTTCTTTGTTTAGTAAATCATAGTTTTCCAAGGTTTTTTCTCTGTTCTAATTTTAAAAGCACTTTAGTTGTTTTGACTTGTTTTCCCTTCATCAATGGGTTAAAACTTTTCCTATGTGTCTTCATTGCCACCTAGTGGCCGTAGTTATCCAAACGATTTCGTTTCGAATAAAGCTGAAATGAAGGATATGGAAAAAGTTTGGGAATTTTTTTTTTCTTTTAACTAGGAAGGTAAATATATGAGTAAATGAGGACGAAAGGTACATATGTGGTGTTTGCTTTATGGTGTTATGCCTGCCTGGTTTACAAGTGGTTTGGCTTCATTTTTTTGCAAAGCATTGTGCTGTTAATAAAGGTTGATATTTTTTTAGTCTGTGTATAATTTCTTTATTGGAAATAGCTTATAATTATTGAGAAGAAAGTTAGTGGAATATATCCATTAATCCTGAAGGGATCTTCTATTGTCATTTGAGAGTTCAAAAGCCAGCTGAACGTGTGGCTTGCTTTTTCTGGCCATCTGAGTTTGTTTTCAAGAGATCAACCCTTGAATAAAGGCATCTTGTTATGTGAAGCTTCTTCCCCTAAAAATTGCACTCCCTAACTTCGGAATTAGTTCATAACCCCTATTTGAAAAATATAGTTCAGAGAAGACCGCTGTCATGTTTCTGCTATCTGGGATGGTGGAGCAGACTAAGCCTCCTGAACAGTTCTTGGCATTGCCCTCGCCTGACCCCTTGCCAGTCTACTGAAAGTGCTTCTTACTTCTTCCTGCCCACATATATAAAACTATGTATATCTATATATATTTAAAAATGTGATTAGAGTTGTCTACAGTAGAAATTTTCTGAGGGTAATGCTAAAGCTGTTGTTTCTTGCTGTGTTTTGCCTGCCTTCCAAAAACATGCTGGAAGTTGCAGCAACCAGTAGATGAGCCTCAGAATAGATTTTAAAGAATAATTATGGTATTTACATCTAGACTTGGGGTGATATAGGGCATATGAGTTATAGATATAGTAGGTGAATATACACCTTGTACTTTAATTTTATTACCTTGACCCTTATCATTGCACTATCTCCCTCACAGACATAAGTCATCTTAAGATCAGTTTTCTTTTAGGGTTTAGAAGCAGTTGGGGGAGATTAGGTCACATCATCTGTGCTGTTTGAAATAATGTTTGAAATACTGTTAAAAAATAGGAAAATACACTCCTGGTTTTTGAAATTAAAAAAAAATTGTAGTAGGAAAGCGAAAATTTAATTGGTGTATAGCAGAAATTCGTGGTGTTCTTAACTATACCGGTACTGCATCATCATGAAGCAAGCTGGAACAGAGGTCAGGTAACAGAAGATGAGAAGCAAAAGACTTAATAGCAAACAAAAAAGGGACACAAAGGGTGTGCTGTTTGATAACATTTATTACTGCTTACTCTTTCTGTTCATGGTGATGCTCGAATTTCATAACTTCTATTCTTACAGCCGTAGTGTTAGAATAACCCGTTTTAATGTCAGATAACTTAATTTCAGCTTTATGACTCGTGGCTGGGCTAGTGCAAGTATTCTCTTATGCTACTGCTGGAAAGTGTTACATTTTATTTTTGCGGTGGTTTATTGTGTAGTTTCTCAAGTTGACAGTTCCATCAGGAATCATCTGCTTTGCAAATTGGCAAGTTTCTACCTGTTGCCTTGGTTCTCTGCATTCTGCATTTTCAATTGGAAGAAAAAAATTCCAGAGACTTCATAAGACCCGTAATGACCCCAGAGAATAAAATAGAAATAGATAAAACTGGTGCAATATGAAAAAATGTTAGTTGTTAGAATAGTTAGCTTCTACAAATGGCTTTCTGTTAATTTGTTTTTCCATATTTATCAGAATTTCTATGTTTCAAAACACTAAGAAGGCAATAAAAGGAGCAAATGATTGTTATGATAAGTCTTTGCTGAAATGGATTATCCTAATGGAGGAAATACAGTATTTGTTTGTGTTGGTTTAGGATTACTAAGTTTAAAAAGCAATCTGTGGGAGCAATTTCACAAATTAATTTGATGGGCTTCTCAAACATGCAAATCTTTTGATGTCACGTAGAGAGATACTTTCTACAATCCTCTTTTGTAGGCAGTCTTTTTTTTTTGAAACAGAGCACGATACTTTTGAAAGACGTTCATAGATGTTTAAGCTGTGTGCGTATTGGTATGTCATCAGTTTCCTTGTGTTGTAAAAGGAGCGGAAATCAAGTGAAAAATTTTCACTGTGGGTTTATTGACAAGGTAAAGTGATTTGGGTTTTTTGGATTTGGAGGTTTTTTTTGGCTGCAGAGGTTTTTGGTTTTTTCCATTATCATAACCACTGAGACATTTTGAATTGCAGTAAAACCTAACATTTGGTTCTTTTTTTTTCTCTGACAATTGTGTGCATTAACTGAAATTATTTCAAATCTTTGCATTTGCTCTATGGATTCTTAATATTTACATTTTGTTATTATGTAGTTTATAACTCAGGAATTTAGTTTCATCTGTTAAAAATACTGATACTTAGAAAAGCATTTTATATCTGTTAAATAAAGGTAATTTTGCTGAATAGGTATTAGACTTGATTTTCATACCAAAGCTGACGTCCGCTAATTGGCCACCTACCTTTATAAGGTAGGAGTTGTCTTTGGTTTTCAGAAGTGCCAAGTTAAGCTCTCCAATTTGAAATAAATAGAATATTTTTTTTTAAATTGCAGTTAGCCTCTCCCTTTGTGCCTCTTCAGCTACCTCACAACTGGATGGACTCCCACTGCTTTTTTAACTTGAGTCGTAACTAGATGGTGGTAAAATCACTGCAGCTGATGGCTAAACTAAAACCAGAGGTGATTAGGATTTGCCTTTTGACAATTTACAGTAACTTCAAGATCAATACATTGCATTTTAATGGTGCGTTTAATTTTGAACATGTTGATGTAAGAAGCATCTGAACTGGTTTCAGTCTGTGCTGCTAAGATTAGTTCATATCTTTTATAGTTCTTGGTAAAGATATAAAATGATCCATTCCATGAAAAACTGAAAAGAGGTGATCAGACAGAATAGCCTCTTGCCTTGCTGACGATGAATCACTGAATGTTTAGGAATTCTAATTTAATATTCTGTTAAATTTGTGAAACTGTTCTCTGTGTGTTAATCGCTGCATCATGTTAAGCACCTACAAAAGGAAAACAGTGTCGTGACTTTCAAGGACTTTTACTTCCTTTGAGGATGTCCTCTTGGTGAGAATAGAAAGCATTTTCATTTTATAGAGCTGCAGACTGTTACCTATCGTATTGAACTGGAAAAGATATTCAGTGACAGTGCATCTAAAGCTGATTTTCCTTGCTTTTTTCTCTTTGTTTGATTTGCATTTTAGAAAATCTTTAAGGCAAATGAAGGGCATGCGTGTACAAAACTCAAATGCAAAGTGTGAATGGGCTGAGAAAGCTTTGAGTACACAACAGTCTCTAAAGAATTCTCTTGAAAGCTGTGTGTAATCTCATAATGCATTTTTCCTTTTCAGGTTCTTTTGTCCTCCTCCATGTGTGTATCTTATGGGCAGTGGATGGAAGAAAAAAAAAGAGCAAATGGAGCGGGATGGTTGCACTGAGCAAGAGTCACAACCTTGCGCCTTCATTGGAATAGGAAACAGTGACCAAGAAATGCAACAGCTGAACTTGGAAGGAAAGGTAGAAGAATTGTAATCAAACACTCAGGTTACTGCAGAGGATATTATAACTACATGTTGCCTATTTCAAGGAGCACCGTTACTTATTTTTTATAATATTTTTTACACTGGAGCAAAAATTACATAAGTTGTTTAAACAAAATCCCTCAACAATATGTAGGATTGTGGATTTGGTTTGTGGGGTGACAGCTGGGTACTACCCTTTCATTTGCAGGTTGTTGATTCAGGGCCTGTAAACTGTTATTTACTCGTGTCCCCCCACCCTTTCAAGGAAAGTTTGGCTCAACACATTTTATGCACAGGCAGCCTCTAGTGCGTTCCCAGTGTGTACTGCCTGTGGGATTCTACTCATATGTAATTTTTGGTAGTGCCTTTGACCGCTCAGCAGTGGCTTTGACACAGCTGTAGTGTCTAATTGTCCTGGTAAGGGTCTTTAGAAAGACACTAAAGTACTGAAGTTGGGTGGTAAACTTCACACAGCTAAAGAGTAGTCATAAGGTATCTGTGTGGAAGAGATGGAAAAAGCAGTTTCTAGTCTGGTTTAGAAACCATTGCACCAGTTTCCTTGTTTTGTTTATAATTAAATATACATCGTTTCTTGAACTGGATTGACTTGAAAGAAGAAACAACAGTATGTTTTCACCTACAGAATTATTGCACTGCCAAAACATTATACATATCAGACTCAGACAAGAGAAAGCACTTCATGTTATCGGTAAAAATGTTCTATGGCAATAGTGACGACATCGGTGTGTTCCTCAGTAAACGGATTAAAGTCATCTCCAAACCTTCTAAAAAGAAACAGTCGCTGAAAAATGCAGACTGTAAGTACTTTACAGTTCTTTTCATTATATAGCAATTCATTTGGCTTCTTACTTATTCTTTCTTAGGTATTCTGAGGTCTGACTACAAAGTAAAATCAATAAAATTTTGGGGTTTTTTTTCTAATATATGTCAGAACTATACATATCAGTGTAAACTATTCTAATATAGAGAAGGTCACACTGAGTTTTATGCGGTCATGGTTAATTATTTAGTAAATATATCAAGTCCACCAAAAAAAAAAATTTTTCTTGAATCTTTGTAGACAAATGCATAGAGTGCTGTACCTCACCTTTCTATGCTGTTGGATCTCTTCATCTGCCGTGATGTGGTGCTTAGAATGTTTTGATTAGTATCAAAGAGATAGTTTTCAGATTGTGATAAGTGAGTAGCATCGTGTTATCTGAACGCACTTTGTCGTATCACAGCCAGCTTCATGCTCTCTCATGCCATTTTCATGTTGGCTTTGTTTTTAGTATATTCTGCATGGTTCTTTTAAGAAATTGGTTAAGAAATCTGTATGGTGATATTTCACCCAGATTAATCTACTGTGTTTTTCAACAGAAGATATCTCTGGTGCTAATGCATAATTAGGAGCATTTTTGCTTTTCCTCCAAAGCTTGGGGCTTTTTTTTCCTGCATACCACTGCAGCACCTCAAGAGAGAGCCTTTTTTTTGTCTGTTTTTCTCTCTCTCTTCGCTAAGGCTCTGTGCTGGGCTGGAGCCCATTCACCTATGGAATGTGGATCTCAGGTGGCTAGCTTACCACGTGACTAAAGGCAATCTCTTGCCCTGCAGTTCCTGCCCATGGGCTCAGAGTATGCACTGTTGACTTTGTGTTCAGACAGATAGTTTGATGGGCAGTGGATATGAACCAAGTAGAAGAAACGTGCCCATTTTGGTGGCAAAATGCTAGTTGCTGCTCTTTTTTTTTTTTTAGGGGAGCAGACTTAGCATTTCTCTCTCTTGAATGATAAGTAAGTTCAGATCTGAGAAAACTTGAAGTTGCATGTTACAGTTTTTCTTAGTTATGTCTGTCTTCCTTTCAGTTGGTTGTGATTTTTAAGAATAATTTTTCTTTATACTTCAAATATACTTCAAATGATCACTGAAAGTTGTCGGAGTACTTCACAAGGGCAAGCCAAAGCTTTGCTCAAATAATCAGTCATTGGAAAGCAGTGAACAGAAGAGGCTTTCAGCTGGCAAGCTCTGGCCCATTGGGCTAAGTGACAAAACTCTAGGAACTAGTATGCCTTTGGAGAACAGCCATTGTGTATATTATCCCGCTTGTAATTCTGTGATTATTTTTGATCTGTCACAAATGTAAATGTTTTCTAAATTAACCAATATTTGAGAATTATATCTTGATTTCAAGTATTCATCAGTTTATTTTACTGTATTTGTGACTTTTTGTAACTTTTCTATGTAATAATAAGTAATGTTATAATCTCAAGTCTGTATGTGTTCCTTGCAGTATGTATTGCATCAGGGACAAAAGTGGCACTATTTAATAGACTTCGATCCCAAACAGTTAGCACCAGATATTTGCACGTAGAAGGTGGTAATTTCCATGCCAGTTCACAGCAGTGGGGAGCATTCTACATTCACCTCTGTAAGTAAAAATAAAGCAGTATATTTTTTTCACCTCCCTCCCTCCATCCTCCCCCTCAAAAAATCCTGTAGTTTTTTCCTCCACATTAATTGTCCATATGCAGTTTTATTGTTACTGAGTGTATATCTGATGTAATAGTGTGATGTTAAAAGTTCCACTTATCGAGGAAAATGGTGATTAAAACAAATAATGTCAAAATTCCTGTTTCATGCAGTGGATGATGATGAATCGGAAGGAGAAGAATTCACAGTGAGAGATGGCTACATTCATTATGGGCAGACTGTCAAACTTGTATGCTCAGTTACTGGCATGGCACTCCCACGACTGGTACAGTTTAATTTCTCCAATGCTGTAATTAATTTGTAGTTGGCTACTTAGTGTAATTGCGTAGTTGAGTTTGCATTGTCTACAATTTTTGGCTTTGTAGGTTTCCTTTTTATGTGGAAAAGGGCATTAATTTCAGTGAAAGTGTATTTTTATATCCACAGATTAATTCTATAAGTAAAGAACAGCTTGTAAAATAAGCGTAAGGAATTTTTCAGAATTCAAACCTGCCAAAGTAGGTTAATCTGCAAGCTGTCCTTAAGAAAACGTCTATTCTAAAAACAGTAAAGTAGGTCCTAGTGTAGAAGAGTACTTTAAATATTGATATTGAAGAGATGAGTAAAGTCTTTGCAGGCAGTAGGACTATTCCCTATACTGAGTTCAGCACAGCTTAAGAAATACTGTACTGATTTGAACCTAGAGGCTCTTCTGTGTACTTCTAATGATACACAATTATACTAATATTAGCTTACAAAAACATCTTGGACATTTATTAATTCTGTCTGTTTTAAGTATGGAACACTGGGAATACCTTTGGAATAACTTTTAGAAAGATAACATTTCAGCCCTTGTATGTAGAATCCTAGAATCATTAAGGTTGGAAATTACCTCTAAGACCATCTAGTCCAACTGTCAACCCAGCACCACCACTTCCCTGAGCAGCCTGTTTCAATGCTTCACTACTCTTTCAGTGAAGAAATTTTTCCTAATATCCAGCCTAAACCTCTTCTGGCCGTTTCCTCTCATCCTATTGCTGGTTACTTGCAAGAAGAGACCAGCACCCACCTCAGTACAGACTCCATTCAGGAAGTTGTAGAGAGCAATAAGGTCTCCTGTTCTCCAGACTAAACAATCCCAGCTCCCT